GGATGATCTTTTTTGCATCAATTCGTCACTCAATCGGCCTTTGGAGTAACATTTAACTGTTTCGACAACTCTAAAAGCGTTTGAGCTGAATTCTCATCAAGCAATTCTTGCAGCTCGACATCTTCAAATTTTTTCGGCTGTCCTGCACGTTCTTTGTCTCTCACATCAAAATCACCGTTTCGGAAGCGTTGAAACCAAACTCTACATGTTGGTTCCGATGGAGTTTGAAGTTTCATCACCATATATTTCGGATAATAAGCGATGCGCTTCAGCTGCGGTTTTCTTGAGGTCGAAGTAGTGAAGAAGCACATGTCGGAAAAACAGCTTATCGCGATTCATTTTCAATCTATTGGAAAATCTCTTTGGCGTCGAGAAATCTAACCTGTGAGGATTGAATCACTTTCAGCGATGTCTAAAAGACATGTGACTTCATCGTCGAAACTCGTCAGCGTTGGAGGCAGAGCCGTCTAGTAGCGAGCGGTAGGAATTTAGTTTAACATCTAATATAAGTACATTATGTATTCAAAATTATTTATGTAAAGTTACATTGAGATTACATAGTTACATAAACTAGTTGTCCAGTAAATAAACAAAATATTTGTTTGTTCTATATCTTTGTAACTAATCAGTGAATCGCAATGAAACTTTGCATAAATTATTTTAAATATTTAAAGTACTTATATAAAAGAAAAATATAAATTTTTTTATCATTAAGAAAATTTTTATTTTTAACATTAAAAATAATAACAAATAAAATAAATTACAAAAGTGTGTTAATAAACTAAAATAAAATTTTATTCACACAACTTCCACATGTATACATATAGTTTATTAGAAATGTAAATATTAAACATACTTCCAAATCTAATTTTCTTTGCAGAGATTGTACGTCTAATAGGTCCTTAAATTATTTTACTTTTGATGAGTAATCTCATTACCTCATTAAAAATCATAATTAAAAAATCACATTTTTTTGTACTGTCACTTTTAAAACGGAGTGATATATATACTATAAAAATTTGATCAACATTATGATCAATATTTGCAAGTATAGGTTTCCATATTTTCAGATTTAAGATTTTCAGGTTAGAAAATTCTCAATTCTCCATTATTGGATTATTCCTCAGATTCGTTTGAACTTTGACTGATATAACTCTTCCTCAGTCGTAACATTTAATCGAAAAAGCTGAGTAGACTTTTGAAAAAGCCGCAAGTGCATCGCGAATGCATAGTGAGTTACGTCTTCATTTGATAGAATGTATCGTGCACAAAGAGATTCCGCACAAAGCCCGGGCTGTCCCACGTTCGGTAGCGCTCGATCGAGAACGGTGCTTTTCTTCGCGGCGGCCTTGCCAAGAGAGCCAACGCGCGAATGGAGATTGGACCCTTTGAAATCGGGTACGTAGGACACCGGCCACGCCGAAATTTGAGTCTCGCTGTATAAAGCAAGTCCACATACCTCAATCCGAAAAGCGTCGGATTTCGCTTAAATCCCAGTGCAAATTGAGATTATGTAATTGCTTTTGTTACAGAATCAGGAAGAAGATCAAAGAATTAATTCCGTCGCGTTGGACTGTGAGAACTTAATTAAATACAAACAATAATAAATTAAACAACTTATTATCACAAAATGCTTTTTATTACTTTTTCAGCTTCAGTTTATGATTGTGTTCCAAGTCCGATAATAATTGTCGCACAGTTTAAATAATTGGAAAACGTATATTTAAAATTAACGTCTAAATATTATTAAGCGACCAAGATTTAATCTCGATCATAATCGTGCTTTTTTACGTATTTGATTTATTAATTAAATATGAATCCTGCCTATAAATTAGAATGAAAAACGGAAAAGTGTGTTTTGATAATAATAAAAATATCCGTTAAAAAATGTCATACTCAGCAGTCCTAGACTGATTGGAAGGTCTACAAGTTTCAACATCGTTGGAGTCTACAGATTTGAATATTATTCAGGAGGGTGTAGATGTCAATAAAAATAAAAAAAATTCAAACATTTTGACCTGGTTCGGGAAAATTTCCAAGCGAGAGCAAAGGCTCCAAAAATCCTGGAAGCTTCCACTTTACCGTACTCTTTCCCCGAAAAATATGGCTATTTTCATACTGTCATTATTATCAATCGAACGACACCTTGGACGGGATCCAAGGGACGAGAAGCTCTGATACACGAAGATGATGTGTTCGGCGGGAAACAATGTGGATGGAGAGAGGAGCGCAGTTCGAACATCGTCAACATATAACGATGTTATCGCTGCGTCAGACAGTTACGCGGGATTTACGCGGGGTAAACAGGAGATGCGGCCATGTAAGTGAAATATATCCCGACAACGCTGCGGTAGGCATCGCCGATACGTTCATCACTAGAGCGCTAACATGCATTTTCGTTTGCTGCATTACGCGCAACTAAGTCGATTATCAACTATGAAGTACACATATTCAACGCCATTAATCTAAAAACATCCATGTTATATCCCCAGAAAAAAATTGCTTATCTTTGCTACCGATAAAAGTTTTTAGTAGTTGTGACTATAACTACATGTTTACCACAATTATGATTATTACTGCTATAATATTAATAATAATAACAATATATATGATTTTATCAATAAATATACATATCTATATAGTTGGCAACTCGAAAATGGCTATAATTATAATTATCATTAATACAAAAACTATGATTTTCGGCGTTATCATTTTGCCTGGCAGAATATTTTTTCTATCTATTTTCTCGATTTGATTCAACGTAATCACAGCCATGATCTAAAAAAATAGCTGTGTATTTTTGAAAAAATAGCCAACCCCGAGTATATCGATTCCTGTGTCTATTAGACCGAAAAGATCAGCGAGCAAGCCAACTTCGGTACATCGTCGGTTCATCGAACGGTTTTCGTAACACGCGTACGTGTTAACTACTAAATCCGATCATCTCATCGCTTTGTTAATCGGACTGAAAGATTACATCGAACATGAGGTGAGAATCAGACGGTCGCATTTGGCGCTAAATGCGGCGAGAGAATACGGCCGGGTGACTCATCGACGGAGATTATAGACATTCGACGCGATAAATCAGTTAGCTTTATATGCAAATCGCGAATGAGCAATTCCGCGAACCGTCGGCCGCAATTCTCCGGGACGTCTTTTCCCGCTGCGAGAAGATTGCCGTAGCAAATCAAGCATGAATAACATGCTGGGAGAAAGCTATTTTATCGAGTGAATCTCCGAGAGACGGTATCGAGACCAAATGATGAAATACAGAATGTGTCCCTTTCCCCTGCTATCTTTCAACTTTCAGCACACTTTCATTCTTTAACAGCGAGTCCGTCTTTGTCTGCATTCGCATTTTCAAGGCTTTTATTCTCAACATTGCGTGCGCAAATCTTGAGTTGATTTATCGAAACCAACTTAAATATTGTTATATATTTTCAATACTCGACGGATTTGGTGCAATTTTCAATTCACTACTTTCTTAACAACAGTTTCCCTCGCTTCTTGAATTTGTTCCGCGTAACTTTCGTTCAACTCAAAACTAACAATCACCCATTGAAACTAATTAATTCGATCAAACCGCGACGCCATGTTGCCGGAACGGTGGCAGGGTGCAAGCGCACTGCCGCAAGCCGGGTATACCCTAAAATTCCTGCCTGCGAGATCGGTGACGGTGCGGTTGGATGCTGTAGGATATCGGAGGTCGACGAAGGAGTAAAAGGGAGAGGAGGAGAAGGCGTCAGAGAGAGGCGCAGGCGGAGGAAGAGGAGAAAGATCCGAACATACGTGTCCCGAGTTACAAGCAGGGAGGATAAACGGCTTGACATATTAGTTAGGAGCTCCGGTAGAACGAGAAGCCAGCCATATCAAATCGGAGTCCCGAAACAGCTCAACCGTCGACTAACTCGCCGTTAACTTCGGCCTGTTTTGTTCTCCGGCGTCCGCTGCACTGTACTGCGAACGTGAAGTGGATAAAATCGCAATACTCCCTCGACTGGACCTCAATCCCGCAGAATATTCCAGGGCACTTGAAGAATTATTCTCCCAATGTTCTCTTTCTTCGTAGATATATATTTCTGTCCAGATCCAGTGATTTTGTTTGCATTTTTAGTTTAGTTCTCCTAAAGTTTGATGAGGGAGGCAATTGCTTTCACACCAGGCAGGAGAGAGATTGAGTTAAAAAGCTTAATTTAAGTTCCGAGATTATAATTTAAAATAAGGAACGAAGTAAGAGAGACAGGACCCACCGAGATGTATAATAATAATAAATTCCGATTGATGAACAACGAATGTAACAAGTAGAAATTTTGCAATTTCATTTTAAAATATCCGAGAGAGAAAGAGAGAAGATTAAATGCAACGATTCAAGATAAAAAAATTTTTAGGATATAAGAATTGATTAACTTTTTTCGTTAATATATATTCTTTACTCAAATCTCCCGTGTATTTAACTAAAATTAGCAAACTGAAACGATTAGGAAAATAAAATCAGAGAGATTGAAATTGAATTTTTTGTCAGGTTTGCACGTAGTGCAGATTGAATCGTTGTTGCCCTGAATACTTCAAACATAATGGTATACATGTAAAACTCAACGTCAGGTGAATTTTGTATAAGAACGGGAAAGGTCACTTCGGTTCAAAGACTCGGCAACTTTTTAAAGAAATTACAAGTCTCATGCATCACCGTTATCAGGTTTCACGCACTCGTAACAGCGTTTGCCGTAAAGCATGCCTGTAAAATATGTACGTCGCCGTTCGTTGCCGGGAAAAAAGTTCCGTAAATCAAAACGCTGCTCGCGAATTTTTTTCCGAGCTACGCGAGGAGGCTGCGAAATGAGAGCTCTATAAAATCTCGGCCTGTGCGCTCTCGTTCGATAGAAACTCGAGTTCAACCGCTTTTTTGAGAGCTTTATCACGGCCCTATCAGCCGCTCCAAATTGAGAACAGAATTTGTAATGGCGCCGCGATTATTATTCATCCGCCGCGACTGCAAACGTTTCCCGCCATTAAACCCTCGACCGAGGTATAGAATCCAACCGACCGCATCCCGTCTAAGAATATTATATTAGCCCGTACATTATCTCCGGCTTCTGTTCCTTCACAGAAGACACCGGCCTAGTGACTGCATCAACGAAAGATTATGTTCTCTTTATTTGAAAGAATGTCTTTAGCTGAAAATTATTAGACGTCAGTACTGTATGTATATATTAAACGTTGGAATTTTTCCTTCTTAAAATCATTCGATCTCTTTTACAAACGAGACGGAAACTTACAAGATGTCTAGAAGATATTTAAAGAACGCATGAATTATTTAAAAAGAATCCGGCATTCATCTTTCAAAGTTTCGATACGAGGAAAAACTTGTTACATTTTCGGGAAAGAGATCTTTCGGAATTTCAATTTTTTTTATTTTATCGATTAGAATCTGCGATTTGGTCGAGCGCCGCAGTGATGGTAGTGCAATCACAATCTTATGATTTTCCCATTCCTCGATTTCCCCGGGAATTTTTCGAGAATTACGTAATCCCGATGGGATGAGAAAACGGAAACAAGGATGAGAGATAAAATGCGGGTCTTTTTGCGGAAGAGAACGATTTTTGGACATAAGTCGAACGAGAACGAACAAGAGTGACTCTGGGTCAATCATTCCTGTCTCGTTTTTATGACGACATTACGTTTCCAAGGAGAATGAAGGACGGAAACGAACAAAGCTCTCGTTAATTTCGGGCGAAAGAGAAAGCTAGTAGATGGAGAAAATCTGAGAAAATCATCTTGGTCGCTTCATCAGAAGATGTACTGTTTAGTATGTTTCTGTCCTGTGTAATCAATCTTGTCAGAAAACGAGGACATCAATTTTATCTTTTTTTATGAATAGAAATAATGCTATTGGAA